GTTTCAAAAATCATTTTTTTTTATCTCTATCACTGTTCGTTACCTTTTAATGCGTATACCCTTACAACATATAGGTTTATCAAATGCATGGTTGAAGATATAATACACATTTGACCACCCTCGCTTAAACTCTTCAATTTCTTGATCTCTTTCTGCAATTTAATGTATTGCATATATAGAGAACTAACTTATTATTTAATATGAAATGAGGGCCTAATTTAGTGAATTTCTACAGGAATGCACATATATAAAGTATCACACACATTAGTATTCCAAAAAAACAAATGTACCAATAACACTTGATAAAATCGTAGAGACATGCACAAGGTAAATGTATTTTCATGCAAATACATGAGTATTTTTCCTATAGTTTTAAAGATAAAGCAATCTTATACGATATATATCATATACTTTCAGAAACTTAAATTCTAACTTTTTTTCATCGCAAAACTGGATATTGCTCTAAACATTATTTAATTATGATGTTTAATTCATGCAACGTATGTGTACTATTATGCATTTTCAGCACTCTTAATGGGGAGATTATTCATTAATTCACGACTTTCTGATGCATTCTGAATTTTTTTGGTAGTTGAAAATTTGAAATATATGATTAATGTATTAAATTCAAAATTGAATAGACTTATATTTTACATCTTTTGCACTAATACTTCAATAGTTATTAATTATATAGATACTATATATTATGCATATTTATCTCTTGATGGGGGTATTATTCATTAACTCACGAATTTCTTATATGTTAAGTATTTGTTAAGGTTGAAATTTTGAAATGATGAATTTATTAAATTCAAAATTGCATAAAATTATATTTTTACATCTTTTGCATTAATAGTTATTCTCTTTGATAAATAAAAGTTTTTTTTTTTTTTTTTTTATCACATATCTTCTTCTCATTCATTTTGCTACATGATTTTTTTTAATTTATTTTCATTTTCTTATTTTTCACTTGTTATTTTTCGAGATTTTCATTATTATATTAAATTTCTAGAATTATATATATGAAAGGTTCTCATTCTATTTATATAAAATTATCATTTTATTAATTTAAGAATAAATTCACATAAATATTAGAAACTCATTGATTTTTTTTTCAATTATTTTATAAACTATTTAATATTTACATATTGATATTAAACTTTTTATTCTACCTAATAAATTAAAATAATTTTATCACTTGTCGTCTTCTAATACATTGTGTTATTTATTTTTTATATGTCATTTTATGGTTTTTGCATTTTATTAAATTTCGCATAGAATTTAAATGTTATAATAAATGCATATTAATTTTATTAATGAACTTTACTTCTAATTTTAAAATTACTAAATTAAACCTTATTAGTTTCATTTATTTATTTATCTAAATTATTTGTTTAAATTAAAAAAAAAAAACATTTTATTTTTCTTATTTTTTTATAAATTCATAAAATACATGGATGTCACACCTAATTAGTTATGCATATCATTATATTTTGTAATAAAACAAATTAGGCTTACGTACATTATATTTCTCCAGATGTAATAGAACATATCATTACTTATTTATTTAAAATATAAGGGAATTTAGAATGTATGAATACAAGGTCTTCATTTGTTAACCAAAGGGCATATAACTCATGTTTAAACGAAAACCCTACGTTGAAAACAATAAACACCAATCCTTAATTGGACTGCCTATTACTTGGTTACATCCATTTTCCAGCACATAACAATTCCATCGAACAATTAATTAAGTTTCCTCCCACATATGGAAGATATATAAGACCTCAATTTATAAAAAGATCCTAAAAGTCTGGTATATTTTTTAATCAATGTTTTGGAATATTTTCAGTTAATATATAGAAATTTTTAAAATCAGATTTATCAGTCACATACTTATATATTTTCATAAACAAATTATTAACATATAAACATTCTTTTCTTGTTCACATGTTCCAAAACACTTATTTGTGCTAATTGGTTTTGCACTTAATTGAATTAAAACTATTTTAACATAATTATGTCGATCAATAGTATTGTCCTTTAAATATTTAACTAAATATTATATATTTTTGACACTCAATTGGAAGACATTCACATGAAACAAGATTGAACGAGTAGTTAAAAAGACCAATAATACACTGTATATGTAGACAAGTGGGACTTAAATATCATCCATAGGTTTTAAACAAAGCCCATGGTTTTGCTTTTCGAATATTTTTTTTTCTTACTGTTGTATTTGATTTTTAATTGATTAATTTGTATATACATATTTCTTTAGTTGTATATATATATATTCTACAAAACACTATAAATCGAGCCGATAAAATATATACTTAAACGATTATAATCTAACGAATAATAGTTAAACAAAGGTGTATAATATCCTACAACTCAAGCCCATAAAATATTTCCTTAAAATGTATTATTTGAAGCTTTGGATTTCATCATCTAATAATTGTTCTTTGATTTAAAATATTAAACATGTATTAAACCATATTACCATTATTATCTACTCTTCAATCGCGTTGACGTCGACTCTTTTAATATCTATTGTAAGTGCTTTGTATTTTTCTAAAATAATATAATTTTTATATCAATTTGCTATTTGAAAATACATCGTCGTAGACATTCAGACCGAAAAGACAAAGCATTAATTACGAACAAAAAGGCTATATAAAATATAATAAAAAACGGATGAAACTAGCTAGTAGTGTTTCTATACATACTTGAATACACTTTTATAGATAATAGTATGTGGTATATTAAATTTAGAATTATAATTCCATCCGTCATATCTTTTGGTATATATAATTTAATTATATATTGTATTTCCATTTATACTTATTTATGTTTATTGTAGAATTTTAATGTGACATAAAGAATATATTAAATCATGCATCGAACATAAAATATAAATAAATATAAAAATAAAGTGTCGCAAGTTGCAATTCGCAAGTTGCAAGTTGTAATTGTTTAGTTTCAAAGTTGGTTGATTGGTGGGTAGATTCAGTGCATCAATCATCATCATAACCATTCGTACCTGACCAATCACATGTCTCCCCTTCAACCCCACCTGATCCCCACTCAAACATATGCTCGTCGCGCATGTACCAGAATCTAATTTCCATACATATATAAATCATGTATAATAATAATAATAATTAATAATAATATCAAGTATGTATTTATCTACTTTTAGACGAAATGATATAGAACTATAATACATACAACTGCATGCATGTAATCATTTTTGATGCGATAGCAGTCATATTTCATTATTTAAAAGACATGAAAATATGTAACACCGAATTAAAGGTTTCTAATTACAAAACCGTTTAAAAATTAAATTGATTCTTACTTTTTATACCTACAAATGTTCCTACCAAATAAAATTATGATAAGTGTCATCTTTCCATATTTTTTAAACTAAATCATTAAGACTATATTAGGAATATATCAAATACAATTAAATTGAATGGTGATTTGTTATAATTTTAGTGGATAGGAATAATTGTAGGAATAAAAGGTAGGAGGCAATTTAATTTCTCATGTTATAAACTTTTACCAATATATGCAGCTGGTTTTTTATTTTAACTCTTAAATTAACATGTTATACGGATAAACTATTGATGTTGTTGTTTCGTAATGAATATATTTCGTATAACAATCATTTTTTACGTAATTTAGAAAACAAACATAATTATATGAACTAATTGATGAGATGATAATGTAGACGGAAGGGGTTCAAGATTAAGCTCTCAACTTAGTTTCACTGGAACAAGTTCTTTTTCTCAAATATCCGAAGAGAACAACATTGCAAATTCCCTAATGTTTTCAAACTCATCGCATAACAAAAGAGCTAAGCTTGACATCAATGGTCTTAATGTCATGGATTCTGAGGTACGTATTTGGATATTTTTATGCTGATCCCACTTATTATATGGAGATAATTAATTATAAAAATGTGATTTAGATTCAATTTAATTGATAAAAAGATTATATATACTAACAATTTAATTAAATTGAATTTTAGCTTAATTTTGGGCTATCAGAATCTGCTCTAGAGGCAGCCACGATGGAGAAGATGATGGACCTTCCTCATGATTCTGTCCCATGTAAAATCCGTGCCAAGCGTGGTTGCGCTACTCATCCCCGGAGCATTGCTGAAAGGGTAAATCAATGTGGATTTGTTTTACTATAAAGATAAGATATAGTAAATTATTGGATAAAAATGAATATTTAAATTATGCATTATAACATGATTATCTTATACACAAATATGTTGATGAAGACATGTAAAATACAAATAAAAAATGGGATATAAATACGATAAAGATTAATATCATAAAATAACAACCAATAATATATAGTTTAGTTTGATTTTGTGTTTAATAGTACAAAGGGTGCAACGGGTGGTATTCTTTGTATTTGGGACCCTTTGTTGTTTGCCAAATATAGATCGTTTTCTTCAGATTCTTTTGTTGCAGTGGTTGCAAACTCCTATTGTCACTTCATTTTTTATTATTTCGGTTTATGTGCCTCAGGGTATTTGGTTGCAAAGGGACCTTTTGAACCTAGTAGGTATGATTAATATTGGGAAAACTTAGGGTTTTGGTAGAGATAGGGATACTAATTTTGATCGTGATATCACTTTCCGAACTGATATTTTTATCTTATCTCTATGTTACAAGAAATTCAGTCTAAGATAATTCAAGTGGACACTTACGATTCTAGGTATAGAAATCGTAAGCCAATATACTAACGGATTCTATGAAAGTATGATAAAAAACGAGAGCTTAAGATCGTAATCCTCTTCTGAAGAGGAATAACTATTTATATATTAAACGAGATTAGTGTTTCATTAGGGTTAGGCCTTCATTAGTTGCTTTGGAAGCAAGTCATGATAATCTGGATTTAATGAGGATTTAGGGTTACCAAAACTAGTGGGATCCCAGCCAGGGGCTCTGCCTCTTGGACCCCGCTAAGGGCGTTGCCCATTGGAAACCACAGACTCAGGGGCGCTGCCTCCGGACCCCCGACTAGTCGTCGAACCGGATTCTAATTCAATCTTATACATGCGTGTACTCCGCACAACCCGGTATATATATTAGAGTACAAATTATGAAATCCCTTAGCACATATATTAGTTCCAATTACTTCAAATGATATGGTAACACTAAAATCACCAACAATTACTTGGTGTCATGGAGTGGTGGTAATCATGGATGCATTTGATGATCATCATTTGGATTCACAACGATATGCTTTGATGTTCCACTCTTAACTTTGCAGGTGTTTTTAATGAATGTATCTCTAATGCTAGTCTTGTTGACCTCCCTTTAGGAGGGTAATCCTTTACGTGGCTAGACAAAATAGGCAACTAAGATGAGCAAGATCGACCAATTTTTGGTGTATGGTGGCCTTACCGATGTGTTGACAACCTTTCTGGTTTAGCTCTTGATCGTCATTTATCAGTCCACCAACTGATTCTTCTAACAAAGGTTTCTGTTGATTACAAGTCGAGACTGTAAAATCCTCTTAGGCACATATATACCACAATAGTATCGCCCAACACGAAAACTTCTTAGGGGTTATACATCCTGAAATTGTTCGCATCTGGACAGGCTTATTAATAAAGTTCTTATGGGTGTAAATAAAGATCTTGGACTCGAGGTTGTCTCTAATCTTCCAAGGATCCAGTTCTGGCTAATGGGTCTTTAAGTTATGAGTTTCATCTTTAAAGGGGGTTGACATTAGGTGTCCCTCTGTCTCCTTATGCTTTTTTTGAGATAGCTAGAAGGATTACCTGTTAAGGTTTAGCCTTTCAGGAGGTTGGTTCTAAGAAGATCTTTTATGTGGTCTTTCTTTTGGGAAGCAGACCATGGAAACCACTCATTTTTTATGCAAATGATGTGATCTTTTTAGGTTAGTAGTCCCACAAAATGTTAACAATGTTGTTCGTATGGATTTCTTGTTGGTGTAACCTTTATCTGATCGATGTGTAGAAGGATGTCGTAAAAAGATTACTACTAAATTGTCATCTTGGAAGGCTAAGACTTTATTTGTGGGTGGTCGGCTAATGTTAATCAAGCCGTTCTTGGAATCTTTTCCAACTTATTTCATGTCTTTGTTTAAAGTGTTGTAGGCTATGACTTGAATTAGTTGGCGTAAGCTGTTGGGGTAAAAAGTCCATGGTGGTCTCGACATTGCTAGTATATTTGCGTTTAATCATATGCTATTCTGTCCAAGCAGATTTAGCGGTTTTGGTATTACCCCATTTCTTTTTAGGTTCGTATGCTAATTAAAGGCTATTCATGATGATCGTGGTCTTATTGGCAGCCTATGTCAACGTCCAATTATAGTTTAATATTCTAAATGTGTGTTATAGTTTGAGGAAGAAATGTGTGGATCTATTTTCTTTTTGAAAAAAACAAATTAATGATTGGTTGATATCAATCTTTTTATTGGAGGCCACGTAGGATTTAACATTTTTTTTTTTTTTTGCTTACACAAGTTTTTTGTTTTCTTCATCATATCATTTGTAATTTTTTTTTTAATATCAACCAAATGAGTTCATGTTCTTCAGTTAACTATTTTTTCTGAATTATAATAAAGTCACTAGGTTATCAAAATTTAGATTGTGATATCAAGTTTCAAATTGCAAGAAGTTCTCTATATTACTACAATATTTCGATTTTGAGACAATTATTTTTCTTAATTATTTAGCATTAATAAAGGAGGATTAGTTCACATTTGGTTGACTCGTCAACGCTTATTAATTACTTCCAAGTTCTTATATTTTGTTGTTGATTTAGGAAAGAAGAACAAGAATAAGCGGGAAGCTGAAGAAGTTGCAAGATCTTGTTCCAAATATGGATAAGGTAGCCGTGTCACTTAGATTGCATCTTTTATTTTATGATTTTTGTTTTAATTCTATTTGCACCAAATAAACAAAACCTATAATTGTATCATTTTTATACCATTACATACAAAATATAATTACAAAGGTATTTTGGTGAAAATTCTTTTTGCAGCAAACAAGCTATTCAGACATGTTGGACCTGGCTGTACAACATATAAAAGGCCTTCAAACTCACGTTCAGGTTAGTAGAAACTATATTAAATAATAATAAATGAATGATAAAATATTCTTTTTAACTTATAAGTAAATTTTTTAAGTAATATACGTTCGTTATTAATTGTGTTACGAGATTTTAAGCACCAAAAAGGCTTGGGGGCATATTGCATGTTTTCTTGACAATGTTTCTGATTAATCTTATATTGTAGATCGTGCGACATGGTTAATTTTTGCTTCTTTTGTAGAGCCTTAACAATGAACTCCAAAATTGCAAGTGTGGATGCAAACCCAAATGAAAATTATATTGATGCAACAAGATATTGAAGGGAAGTCTCTAGGGTAACACATGATGTTGAGATAGACATCCAAGGGATCATATAAGAGCGTCATTGTTCACGTGAAAACGACTAGACGACCATGGAGTTGCATTCAATGGAAAGCAAGTTAACTTTAGCTTTGGTTTAATATACGTGTTCTTTTGTATCTTCCAATCTGCAGCACAACCAAATATATGCACATTTAATTCTTGATTAGGATATTTATGTAATTACAGGATTTTGGTAATGTTTATGTAATTATAGAAGTTACATCTAATTATTGGGTTGTATAACTATATCATGAGTTCCTTGTGATATTGTTTATGTGACGGGTATATCTATCACATTCATTAATTTGATTAATTTTGTTTGTATGTGTAATATCCCAACTCCCAGTTATAATAATTATATATTATATTTATGAGTAAACTGAGCAACTCGACGAACGGGAGCCCCAACTTGGCGAGTAGAGACGATTGGACCACATGGGTTTTACAACCAACTCGACGAGTCGGTGCTATAAGTGGAAACCCTAATCTTCCGGTTTTGTGTCCTATTAAAAGGGTCTTAAGCCCTCATTTCTTACTCACCGGTCATTCAACTCCCCTGTATGAAACCCTAATCGATCAAATTGATTTGTGAGTGATAAAGTGAGTGAGAGAGAGAGAGAGAGAGGCTAAATTGAGTAGTTTTGTGCATCTTTGGAAGGAGATTTGGAGAGCTTGACGTGTTTGATCAAAGAGGGGTTGTAGATCCAAAGTTCTTCAGTGATTAGCTTTAGTGCAAAGGTAAAATGTTTCTATTATGACCTTTCCTTTGTGAGATCTTAGTTTAGGGAGGTTTTGAGGGCTTTCTCCTATCTATCTTGAGACAATGAGTATTGAGCATATCATGAGGTTGAAACCTCAAATATGGACTGTAGGAGGACTTGAAAGCCCAAAAATTCGGGCTTTATTGAGCTAGAGAATAGCTTTTGTGCATCTAACCCTTGTTGGAGTTTGTATTGACATTATGAGCCTAATATGCCATGCATGAACGTAAAAGCTCGTAGCTTTATGTGACATTCGAGCCTTGGGAGTCTAAATCTGGAATTTGGGGTTGTAGATCTGCCTTAAAACGTCTGAATGAGAAAATAGATTGAATAGACTAACCGAGTCAATGAGCTGACTCGACCAGTCGGCTAAGGTTTTCCCCGATGAGTCTGGACATGGGAAACTTGGTGAGTTGATGAGACAACTCGACGACTTAAGTTGGGATTTCATGACATTTTTGAAGGAACAATGGGGACTCGGTGAGTCACATAGATGCACTTGGCAAGTCAGGTCAACATGGACTGTTGACTCGCGTGTTGTCGTATGTTGACTTTAGGGTTTGGTCAAGAGAGGTATTGTAGGGACCATGGAGGGGTAAAATGGTGTTTTACCCATCCCAAGGGTTAGAGAGAGAGAAAATAGCATTCGGTTATTTAGAGTTGTGATTGAGAATTTATTTGAGATAATTATCATATGTGTTAGGCGCAGGCTAGATCGGATTCGTGTACGTGGTTATTTTGCTTGTTTGCTTATGAGGTGAGTCTTCTCACTATACTTACCTAGAGTGGTAACCTATGTGTGTGACCGGAGGGTCTTATGTGTTTATATTGACTATTGTTATATCCTGCATTATGTCTTTGTGATTTATGTTGTGTATTATTCTGAGCTTATTGAGTTAAGACCGGAGGGTCCTCCTGAGTTGTGGGACTAGAGGGTCCCACTGAGATACATTAACCGGAGGGTCTTATTTGAGCATAGCTATGAGAGGCTAATGAGATATGTGTGGTATTTTGGGGAACTCACTAAGATTAAAATGGTGTTTTACCCATCCCAAGAGTTAGAGAGAGAGAAAATAGCATTCGGTTATTTAGAGTTGTGATTGAGAATTTATTTGAGATAATTATCATATGTGTTAGGCGTAGGCTAGATCGGATTCGTGTACGTAGTTATTTTGCTTGTTTGCTTATGAGGTGAGTCTTCTCACTATACTTACCTAGAGTGGTAACCTATGTGTGTGACCGGAGGGTCTTATGTGTTTATATTGACTATTGTTATATCCTGCATTATGTCTTTGTGATTTATGTTGTGTATTATTCTGAGCTTATTGAGTTAAGACCGAAGGGTCCTCCTGAGTTGTGGGACTAGAGGGTCCCACTGAGATATATTAACCAGAGGGTCTTATTTGAGCATAGCCATGAGAGGCTAATGAGATATGTGTGGTATTTTGGGGAACTCACTAAGCTTCGTGCTTACCGTGTTATGCGTTATGTGTTTCAGGTACTTCTCAGGATCACAGGAAGGCACCGGTTTGATTGTACACACACGAGTTGGAGATATATTTTGAAGGATCTTGGATGTGTTGTAAACAATTTATGAACATATGTTTTTGATAACTTGATATTTTGGAGATTTTTAAGATTATGCTAATGAGATTAAGGTGATTTTAAATGAAAATTTTATTTGAAAATTTACGGTGTTACAGTATGCCTTAACTATAAAATTGATCATTGTGTTTCTTAATGGTGTTATGATCTATTATTAATTATCTATTATCTATTATTAATTATTAACTATATATTATCTATTATCTATTATCTATTATCAATTATATCTTATAAAATATATACAGTAAAGTCCCAATATTTTAATCGATTTGACAAGAAAGTCCTAAACTTTATTTTTTTTTACAGTAAAGTCCAAATTACCGGCAATTTTTGACACTTTTACCATTTTTCCCGGTTAGCCGGTAATTAGGACTTTTTTGTCAAAAAAATTAAGTTTAGGACTTTCTTGTCAAATCGTCAAGTAGGACTTTATTGTCAAAAAAATAAAGTTTAGGACTTTTTTGTCAAATCGTTGAAAATATTAGGACTTTAGTGTATATATAATTTTTTTTGGTTAGAAATTTAATGGTATGATACTCTTTAAGCATAAGAGTTATTGAAATCCTTAACGTTTGCTTCTTGTTAAATCGTTTTTTAATCTCAACAAACCCACATTGAAAAAAAATTTGAGATAAGAAAGAAAGAAAGAAAGAAAGAAATAACTAGCGTTATGTTGACTTTTTGCAGCCCCAAAAATGGAGAAATAAGAAACCAAAAAAACGGAATTGCCCTTCTTTCCCTTCTCGACGTTCACACCCTTTTGACTAGGCATGTGTTGTTTGTGTTTGTATAAAGCCAGGGCAATTTCGTTTTTTTAGATTTCTAATTTCTCCATTTTTGAGACTGCAAAAAGCCAACACAACCCTGGTTCTTTCTTTCTTTCTTGATTATCTCAATTTTTTCAATTTCGGTTTGTTGAGATTAAAAAAACGATTTAACAAGATACAAACCTAAAGGATTTCAATAGGATCTAGCTGATTAAAAAAGGTTTCAATAACTCTTATGCTTAAAGAGTATCATACCATTAAATTTCTAACCAAAAAAATTATATATACACTAAAGTCTCAATATTTTCAACGATTTGACAAAAAAAGTCCAAAAATTTATTTTTTTGATAGTAAAGTCCTAATTGATGATTTGACAAGAAAATCCTAAACTTTATTTTGTTGACAAAAAAGTCCTAATTACCGGCTAACTGGGGAAAAAGGGTAAAAGTGTCAAAAACTGCTGGTAATTTGGACTTTACTATCAAAAAAATAAAATTTAGGACTTTCTTGTCAAATCGATGAAAATATTGGGACTTTACTGTATATACCCCTTTGGTGATCTATAATCTTAAACACCAAATAATAATTGTTGGTGGGTTACTAGTGGATTAGGGTGTACATGATAAAACAAGGGGTATCCTCTTTGGTGCTCTATAGATTTAGATTTTTTTGAACAGACAATTCTAATCTACTCCCAAGCTAACAACACCTAATCCACTTATGTCCACTACAGGACTTGAACCCTCAACCTCAAAGAAAGACAACAACACCTGTTACCGCTTGGCTACAATCCCTTTGGCCTCTATAGATTTAGATAAGATATAAATCATATTCCTATAAACATGTCTAATCATACACAACCTCTGGATCCACTAGCCTCGATGAGTTAGAGTCAACATGGACCGTTGACTTTGACTGATGGATGACCTTAGTTTTGACTAAGGTTGACCATGGTTGACTTTTGTAACACCCCAAAAATACGAGCCAAAAATTTCATTTTTGAAAACATATATTTAGCAAAACATTCGAATTAAAACGTTTATTGATCATAATATTTTATAAAGATATCACATGTCTGGAAAACATTTCATAAAAGATAATAATGTCAGAGTACACATCCCTAGGAAGATCTCATGATGCAGAATACGAAGCATGTGTGTGATGGGCCGCTACCGTGCCAACTCTTTCCCCTTCGAAGAAGAGGTACCTGAAACCAAAACTGAAAACTGTAAGCACGAAGCTTAGTGAGTTCCCCCACCATACCGCATACCATACAATCACATATCATACATATTGTCAGGCATTTCTGGGGTGCCCAACCTACCCGGTACGGCCATTCTGGGGTGCCGACTACCCGTGTCAAGCCATTCTGGGGTGTTGACTACCCATGTCAAGCCATTCTGGGGTGCTGACTACCCTTCGATCCTGATGACCGAACCTCGGGGACTATTTCACCCCTACTGCTACTATCACATATATCCTAACATAACATATTATCAGACATATCTGGGGTGCCTGAACTACCCTTCGGTCCTAGCAACCAAACTCGGGGACTAATCCCCTCCTACTACCTCTATCGCATATAATGTAAAAAGCCAGCATGCAAACATATCATCATATACTGTCAGACGTATATGGGGTGTCTGACTACCCTTCGGTCCTAACAACCGAACTCTACTACTATCACATACAACATATCATGCTAGCATATAACATATCAAGTAGTAGCAAACCTAGATGATATCACAAAGACAATCATTTATCATACATCTCCTACTGGTGGGCCGGCATTGTGG